GATGTAAGGGTCACTATTTGGTATGAGAGAAAAAGAAACAAGAGAGGATTTTTTTCTTTCTTTCTTTACTTTTTTTTTAAAGCTTCTGTTGCAATGAATGTGAGCATGATTCAGAAACATCTTGCTAGGGTCGACCACATGGCTCACTCGGGAAAGTGCGGCACTGTGGGTTCGGATCCTGTATAGGGATGGCCGGTGCGCTCACTGGCTGAGCGCAGTGCAGGCGACACCAAGGGTTACGATCCCCTTACCGGTCACAAAAAAAAAAAAGAAACATCTTGCTAAAGGTCTGGCAAAGGGGGAACTATTCTGAGAAATCTGATTAGCATCCTTATCTTTGGATCAGGATCTGGGATCCAGTTGGATGCCAGGCTTGGGGTGTTATATTCTCTTTCAGGTGGATGGCTAGGAGAGACTGTATGACTGTTATTTCTCTCTGATCACCCTACATTGGGCCATGATGACAGTTTCAATACATTGCAAATAATGGGAATTATATAGGCAGTTTTCTGGCCAAGATGAAATTTAGGTAAAAATATTTAACAGAAAGAAATTTACAACAAAAAGATAGCCCCAAAGCTACCATATACTTGGACATTAGAAAATACTCTTTGCAATTACCTTTAGTTCAAAGAAGAGGTTGTACTGAGAATTAGAAAAAAAAGTTCATTAAATTATAAGGAAAATGCTGTATGTCAAAACTTATGGGGTATAGGTAAAGCAGTACTTAAGGAAAATGTATATCCTAAACTGTGTATATTAGAAAAGAAGCCTAAAAATTAATGATCTAATCATCTATATCAATAAGTTAAATAATGCAAAATGAATCTAATAATAGTAGAAAGGAAGAAATAATAAAGATAGACATAGAAATCAGTGAGGCAAAATACAAAGATACAATCAAGATCAAAAAAGCCCAAATTTGGTTCTTTGAAAAGAATAAGAAAATTATTAAACATAAGACAAGACCAACTAAGAAAAAAAAAAAAAACATAAGGCACAAGATATTAAAATATATATATTTATATATAAGTACAGATCCTATGAAAGTATAAAAGATGGGAGCATTATTGGTATCTTGATAGCAAAAGAAAATTTAGATCATATGGACAAATTCTTAGTAACATATAATCTTACAAGACTAATTCAAAAAGTTAAAAAAAATTTCCACAAACTTGGTACAATCATTAACAGAATTAAATCATTAGTCCAAAATCTTTCCATACAAAATAATGCCATAATTTTGTCTTCATTAGTGAATTCTACCAAAAGGGAAAAAATTCCAAACTAGAAAGTGGAGGAGTAAATTAATATAACTAGTGTGGTAAGCCTGGCATAACCTTGAAAACTGTGCATGATATGGTCGGAAGAAGAAAAAAAAAAGGCCAGTTCTGTTCATGAACTCACATTTTGCACAAAAACTTAGGCTCACTATCTATCTGTATGTATTTACATATAATTCTATATACTAGGGTACTGTGGAAAAATTAAAAGATAATGCAAATCTTTCAATGAACTTTTTGAAGACCCCTCATATATGTGTACATATATATAATGCATTATGTCCAGTTAAAGAATCACTCATTTGATAATCTCATAAGACATAGAAAAAGCATATGATTAAAATAATATGTGTTCGTGATAAAAACTCTTAGCAATAGAATTAGCATGGTAACTACCAGAACTGCTATTCAGCACTGTATTGGCAGACCTAACCAGTGTACTAAGGAAAGAAAAAGAAATAAAACACATAGGATGGGAAAAAAAATGAACTTTTATCATTTGGATGTGAAATAATTGTGTATGTAATATATCAAAAGAATTAATATACTATATTGAACAATTAATCCGAAACTTTAGCAAGTTTCCTGAAATTCATAATCAATATAAAAATCAGTTGATTTTAGTATACAAGCATCAAAGAGAAAATAAATAAAAGCTGCCATTTGCAGTATCTTTAAAAAATATCAAATCTTAGAAGTGAATTTAAATAAAGATATGTAGACCTACACAGGATGAAGGTGTAAAACTTTATTATAAGACATTAAAAATACCTGAAATACTTAAATAAATGGCATTTATAAATAAATGGAGGGAAATACAATGTCCATTGATTAAAACACTCAATATTAACAAGATGTCAGTTCTCAAATTAACTTAAAGATTTGCCTTTAATCCAAATTAAAATTATATTAGAGCATTTCAATGACATTTCCAAGCTCATTTAAATTTTTTTGTAAAACTGCACATGGCCAAGAATAGGCATGACACTCTTGAAATACATGAGCAGTGGGAGAACATGTTCTCTTAGTTATCAAGATGTGTCATAAGTTCTAATAATCAATGTAATGTGCAATTCCTTTCATTCCTTTCATTCCTGCATTAATTCATGTCCTTGTTGACTCAGCAAATCTTTCTTATATTTATTGAACGCATGTTCTCTTAGTTATCAAGATGTGTCATAAGTTCTAATAATCAATGCAATGTGGAATTCCTTTCATTCCGTTCATTCCTGCATTAATTCATGTCCTTGTTGACTCAGCAAATCTTTCTTATATTTATTGAACATTTACTAAATCCTAGACACAATAATTAGTGTTGCATATTCAAGGATGAAGAAAGTAGGCATGATTTCTGCCATCAAGGCCCTGAAGTCTAAACAAGCTCCTGCCCTCCTTGTCTCCCAAAGCAGCAACCCAGGTGTATTAGGTTCCTATTGCTGCTGTACTAAAGTGCCACATACTTAGTGGCTTAAAACAGCACAAATATATTCTTTTATAGTTTTTGATGAAAGGAGTCTGAAGTGAGTCTTATGGACATAAAATCAGGGTTTGGGGGGGCTGCATTCCTTCTGGAGGCGCTAGGAAAGAGTCCATTTCCTTGCCCTTTCCAGCTTCCAGAGACATCTGCATTCCTTGGCTCATGGCCCAGTCCTTCATTTTCAAGCCAGCAGTCTGACATCTTCAACTCTCTCTTACCTCTGCTTCCGGTGCCACGTCTTCTGTGACTCTGAATCTCTTGCCTCCTTGTGATTACATTGGGCCCACCGGGA